TGACCCCAGTCTTGGCGCATACACTCTTGGACTCGTCATCCCCGTCACTAGATTGTAACTTCCTTTGAAGAGAGGGAAATCCCCCTTTGCCTGTAGCAGCTCACTGCACAGAGTCACTTAATTATACCCATCAAGATGAAAGTGGGCAAGCCAGCCTCTCCCTCGGTCTTCCTTTGGTTCAAGCAAGCCACAAACATCTCAAGCCACTTCCACGTACATCCATATACCAACACCTCCGATCCTCAGAACCACCACCCAAGGTCATCCAGGCGGCACAATGACCCTCATTAAAGACGGGGAGACTTCCTCGGAAACTGAGTGCAAGGTCTAGGTCTGAAGCTGAACATCGGGGCCTCTTTGCAGAAGAGGAGCTTGGCAGGGAGCTCACAGATACTTCAGGATTAGCCGTGCTGTCAAAACCATGAGCCGTGTCCATCCCAGCCCCGGTTACGCCACCTCCCAAAAGGCAGTCACTCCAGGGCTAAGATTTTTGCCAAACTCAAGGATCACCTGTACTTACGAATTCAATCCTTTGATTATTTAAAAGACATTTTAAAGTTTAAAACATCAACTTTAGTTTCACTCTATGCAGTAGTATCTGTGAAACTCTGGGCTTGTGTGCTGTTTATGTTCTTTTCAAATACCAATTGAGAAAAAGACATAATTACCCTTCTTTGTTTTACCATCAGGTGCAACATGTAAAAATTATCTTGCGTTCCACCAGTGATAACACCCCTTGGGAAACATTCATTAAAATAAGATTAATGAGACAACTTTGGGTCATATTTATTCGCTGCAAGTTTTTTTTATTAACTTCGATTTAAGGAAAGACAGCTCACCAAAGAAGTTTATAATCAGAAGCGTCAAAAAGAGAAATCTTAAGCTACTTCTCCATTGAGAAAACTTATTTCATCTTAGACTATGAGCAGTTTGCACTGAGGGACTTGTCCATCTCTCTACATCCTGCATGGTGATAGCTATTTCACATCCAAATTTCTCAGGACAATCTTGATGCCAAATATCACCCTGGTGACCATTCCTCCAGCTCTCAACCCAGAAGACAGAGGAATTCGGGCAATCTCTTTGCCCTCAGCTCCCTTTTAGATCAACAGAAGCCCAGCTTCCCAATCGAAGGGGAGGGCCCTGGGAATTCAGTTATACAGGTCAACATCCACTCATTAAGCACTGCAGATCCATGTGAACAAAACCAACAGCGCGTTCAAAAGGGAAGACGGTTCTTCTCCAGCCCCTCTCCTCTCTAAATCCCGCCCCAGGATGGACTAGCATCCCCAGAGCCCAAGAGCGACCCAATGCCCAATGGGAAGTGATGCACGGCCTGAACACAGCTCCCTGCCCCCAATCCCCCGTCAGTGTGTGAGCACAGAAACTCAGCACCCTGGACGGATGACACATGGAATCCCACTGACCACTCCCCACTCACTGAGCTCCTGGCAGTGAGTCCCTAGACCCAGACCCAGGCCTGGTTCTGCCACCAACTTGCTGGGTGACCTCGAGGGAGTCGCTCCACCTCTCTGAGTGTCCCTGGCTGTCAAACTGGGACTTTCTAAGGGCCTTATGCCCCTGAAATTCTCCGATCTTAGCCCACGGCTGCCCTGAATGCAGAGAGCTCTCACCCATTCCAGGCGTCAGCTCAGGACGAGCCCAACTGACTCTGGAACAGAGCCATGCTAACGCTGGTGCTGTCGTCACTATCACCGCCAAGAGCCCTGGCCTGGGTATTGGGTTACCCGCCTGGCACTCTCGCTGGGTGGCAGGTCTGCCTCTGATATTTTTAGACTGCCCCTTGGCCTGTCCCTAACAAGAGCCAGACGCCTCTGACGATTCCTGCCCTGGTCGGTCCTGCCCAAATCACACTATTTGAGTAATTCCTGCAGGAAGCCAGACTGTACCACTCCGGGGGCAGAAGGGGAGCCTCCTCTTCCCACCACCCTCACCCCTACCCGCATTCCTCCACCAGACAAGCTGAAGCCAACATTCAGGAGTCAGCCCTCCAGTCCGTCTATGTTGCCAGCTGCCGTCTTTCCTCGTTCCCACTGTTGCTGCCAATCGCTTGCTTTCTAAACCCAGGAAGACGTCCCCTGAGCCCACTGTCCCGCACAGGAGTCCCATCGCCGACCTCTAACTGCCTCTGCTGGAAGGGCTCTGCTCCCCAGTCCCAGGACCCACCTCACCTTTAGGTGATGCCTGCCACCACCCCTGCTCTGGAGCTCCCTGTGGCTGGGGAGCCCACTCCCACCCCACCTTAGCCCCTGGAGCCTGCGTCTGAGGCCCCGCTTGTCTACAGAGCTGGGCAGCAGCCACATATTGCAACACAACCATCTGCCCCCCCAGGAGGGTGGCTGGACTCCCGCTTCCCAAACAAACCCTGCCAGGCAGCCATCGATCCAGCGCCATCCCATCTGGCCTGGAAAGGCATTCCTATATTTTTGTCTCCACAGACTTCCCTTCCAGGTCACATCTGGCGGAGTTGACTAGGACAGAGAGCTGGCCTTCGCTCTGCCCCCCATCAACCAGGAAGGCCACCGAGGACAAGGGCATCAGCACTCGCCTGGGATGAAAAATCATCCAGCTGAGCCTTCAGGTGAACCAGCTGTTGCTGGAAAATTGAGTCTGTATGCATATGCCCCCGGTTTTAGCTCCTGCGCTGCAGGTATTATGCGCCAGGCAGAGAAAGGAAATGTAGGTGAAATATTCACTTTCACTTCAGGAAGAAAGGGCCTTATAAATCGCTTGTGTGTGTAGTGTGTAGGGGGTGGCGGGGAGGACTAAATGGCTGTGCCCGGTATTGACAGATGTCCCAGAGCCCCACTAGCCCCTCGTAAGCTGTACCCTAATCTGGGGCTGTGCCAGCCAGAGAGGGCATGGCCCCTCCCCTCTGCGTGGGGCAGTGTAGTGTCAGCCCCGGAGCCTTAGGGCCTGGCCCTGCCTTGCCCACCCTGCTGGCTTCCAACACAAACACCTGTCTCCAGATTTCAAGCGAATCTTAGTTTCCCCACTGGAGAGACAGAGGAGGCTCCAGGCTATGTGGCCTGCTCTCCAGCTCCCACCCCGACGCCCCAATTCTGGGGCCGGGAGAGGAGGCAGATCCAAAAAGCTTCAGTGGGAAAACAGGTTCCACACCTTCCTGCCACCCACACACCCCTCCCTCGGCTGTGGGCTTGGCATCTGCCAAGGCCCCCGTGGGCATCTGGGCCCCGATTTCCCCAAAAGTGGTCTCCCCCCATACCCCACAACCCACCAGGGCATCTCCAGATGGGAAAAAGGGGAGGGCTGGGGGGGAAGCACATGGAGGTTCAAAGTCTGGCTCTCCTCACTTACTAGCTCAGCGACCTTGAGAAACTGACTTAACCGTCTCTGGCCTGGCTTTTTCCACCTGCAAGCCGGGAGTGGGGATGGAAACGGCACAGTGTGAGGCTTCCCGGAGAACTGGAGGGCGTAGGCTGCAAATGCTCCATCAGCCTGGGTTCCCATCCTCATCGCTTCCGGACTCCTGGGGAAAGCATGTTCTCGTCCCTTCCTCATCCTCTTTCTGCTTCCTTATCCCGGGGCCAAATTCCCGGAAGAGGGCCAGCAACGGTGAGTGGCCTCTGGGATTTCTAACTGATTCAGACTGAAGCATACAGGCGGCTGGAGACCGTTCTTTTTAAGTGGTAAAATGTACATAACAAAATATTGATCATTTTAACCACTTGTAAGTGTAAAATTCAGTGGTATTAAATATGTTCATCACATCGTGTGACCATCGCCACTACCTATACCCAAAATGTCATCCTACCCCCAAAAGCTCTGTACCCATTAAGCAATAACCCCCTCCCCTCCCCCTCCCCCTTCCCTCCCTCTCCCCCAGACCTGGTAACCTCTCCTCTACTTGCTGTCCCTACGAATTTGCCTATTCTGGCTCCCTCACATCAGTGGAATCACAGTATTTGGGCTGCAGGCTTCTTAAGCCTCTTACCTTTCCTCTGCCTGTCACTTTGCAGGCTGGGCTCTGGGTTTGACACAGCGAAGTCAAAGATCACCCCCCACCCCACTGCCCACACACACACACATCTTCGGAGCTTAGGAGGGGGCTGCACCCCTTCCCCAAACCTGAAACTGCACTGTCAGCCTTGGTCCAAAGTAAGGGGTGGGTTCTGTGGCCTGGAGGGAGGGCTTTGCTCTGTGGGGTCTCCCTCAGGTCCAGGCGCCACCGCCTAATCCCCATTTATGAGGTCTCCACGTCAGCCCCAAATTAGGACCCCCCTGGAGGGTATCTAGGACCCCGGATTCGGGGAGAGGGTATGGTCTCTCTATACATGAGCTCTAGCCTCCTCTTTCTCTGGAATCCACGAGCGGGGCCCTCAAAGCCCCCTCAAGCCCCATCAGAGGGGGGAAGGGGAGACGCGCCATCCAAGCAGAGCCTCCAGGCTCCTCCGCCGCTCCGGACCTGAGGAAGTTGCTCCTCGCCGCTACGGGGCGCAACGGAGCCGCAGCCGGGGCCGCGAGGGCTGCGCTGCCCGGGACCCAGTGACCCAGGCTGGGCACAGCCCGTCCCGCCCGCTCGATGAGGCGGGGGACGGTGAGCCGAGGCGCCAAGGACCTCCACGCGACGAGGGGGCCTGCCCTGGCCTCCGAGAGCCCCGGGAGTGAAGCTGGAGGGGGCGAAGGGAGCCGCCCTGACTCCTCCCCAAACTTTTCCCGCCCGCCTCGGCGCAAAAGGCGCAGGAGGCTGTCCCGGGGTGGGGAGGTGGAATTCGGGGTCCCGAGCGAGCTCGGCGCAGGCGGGAAGTCTGCGCCCTGGTCATCTGGCGGAGGAAGAGTGGATTTTGGGCATAGATTGGCCTCGGCCCCTCCCTGGCCCCCACCAATTGCAGGGAGCCTCTCTCGGTCCAGGACATGTGGGAGGCTCGCGCCCGCGCTGTCCCCTGCGCACGCGGCTCGGCGCCCCCCGACATGGCCCCGCGTCCCGTGCGCGGCCCCCTGGCGGGATCCCAACTCACCGGGCGCTGGCGGCTGGACCGACCGACGGGCTGGGGCGCGAGACGAAGCCGCCGGGCTGTTTTGAAGCTCTGGGCTGGGACTGCGCGCCCTCCCTCCTCCCTCTCGGTGGTGCGGAGCCTCCTCCCCACGTCCCCCTCCTTCCCCGATCCCGCCTCCCGGGGCGTGATGTCAGGAGCCGGGAGAGCGGAGTGGGAGGGCCCGCAGGGGCGGGTGGGAGACACTGGAGGGAAAGGGGAGCCCGAGGAGCGCCCGCAGCCCCCGCCCGCCTCCCCGCGCAACTTAGCCAAGTTTGGGGCGGAGTCGGTAGCGCAGTCTGGGAAAGAGCGAGCAGTGGGAGGCTCCTCGGAGCCAGAAGTCTGTCTTCGCCGCGCTCGCCCTTACAGGTTTCAAGCTCCCTCTCCTCTCCTCTTCCCTTGGGTAAGGCTTAAGAACGAAGGTTCTGGAAGCCAACTCTCTGCTTTAGAACCCCTTCTCTGGCACTTTTCTTAACTTTGTGATCTTGTCCTTAATCTTCACTGCCTCAGTTTCCTTTTCTGGAAATGGGAATCACAATAGGACCGCTTTCCTTGGCGATTGTAAGACCTGAGAGTGATAATTCGTGCACAGTGCCTGGCTTATGGTAACTGCTCAACAAATGTTGGCTACTGTTGTTTTTATTATCTGACATAGAGTCCTGGCCTTGGGGGGAGGTGGCAGGGCAGCCAGGAACCAAGTCTTAGGACTCCCCCAGAGTCCCGCCATTCGCTGCCTCCCCCACATGCACACCCTCACACAAACCACTACCCATATCCCCTGAACCCACAATCCTGGAATTTATTGTCCCTGGAAATGACATCAGAAGACAAGGAACTACCTCTCTTTCCAGCCTCAGTTTCCCCAGCTGGAAACTGAGAAGGCTAGTCTACCCTGGAGGCTCTTGGGGATGAGGAAGGAGGCCAAAGAGGCCTAAGCCCCATCTCTGTGTCGGGCAGTGGGGGGTTGGAGTGGGGTTGGGTGTACAGAAAAGTTGAAGAAATTCCAAAACAGGGCCACGACATATTACAGTATATTTTTAATTTAACAGGTTAATGTTATTTGCACACATCCCAATATACAAGTCAATAGATTTGTGCCTCTAACAAGAGAATTAGAAATCCTTTTTAAAAATGCTACTTTATTGTGCAGTAGCTGGTGGGGCTGGGACCCCATGTTTGAATTTTCTGATGCCAGTCCTTTTTCAGTTCTGTTGGGGAACTCTGCCAGGGGAGAGCCTCCTTGAGTCTAAATTAGAAATCCTCCAGAGATTTGAGGCCCCCTGCAAAGGGCCACCGCACCCCCCAGGTCTTGAGGTTCCTCAGTTGGTCCAGTGTCTGACCTGTCACATCTCTTTTAATTCTGAAATTCTGTGGCCAGTCAAGACTTTCACATCCCAAGCAAGAGAGTCTTTGTAGGGCTGGAGAGGGGCCAGGAAGGTGCTCATTTGAACAGAGGCCTCATAAAAACGAGGAGGAGTGTGGGGTCTGGCTGGCTGCAGAGGAGGCTAGGCTGGTCCACCCAGCAGGTGGGACAATGGTGCCTGCCTGGTCCCATGGCCACCTGGAGGACAGAGAAAACTCAGAAGGTTCTCCCAGAATGGACAGTCCAGATAGGGTCTGGACCAGGTGAGTTTCTGCCATTTGCTGAGCACTCACTGTTTGCCAGTTACTTTACAAACATCACCTTCAATATTACACAACCGCCTATGAAGAAACTGAGTCTCCGAGGAGCTACCTAAGTAACTTGTGCAAAGACCCTATATAAGGGATGGCACAGGATTTGAACCCAGGCTGACTGCGGCAAACCTCTCTCCTCTTCCCATTATATTGCTACTTACCAAATGCTTACCAGAGTCAAGCCATAACTTCTGCCATATCCACGTGCCACCTGAACTGGTGTTCACTTAATATTTTTCTTTAAAATCAACTCTGTTTATTTAACTATATTTATTTTAAAAGGAAGCCCTATATCATCATGGTAAACAGAAAACTAGTGCCATCCACCAAAAATAGAAGACAAACTTACAAATATAGACATGACCTAGAGAAAACAGTGTTGGTACATTCTGTCCAGAGACTGTTGCCTGAGAGAGTCCTCAAACCTGAGGTTTAGGATCTAGTAAGAAGGGAGAGCAGCCGGTGTAAGAGAGGCGTTAGACACGCGCTAGCACAGAAGGAGACTTTCTCCTTCTTGTAATCAGAACTGTCGCAAGATCGTTGGAAAAGGGAATCGTGTTCTCACTCCGCGATGCAAAGCTAGGTGATGCATCACCCAAAGTCACCTCCATGCGCCTGCTGGTGGCGCATGCCCCACGCTGGGAAGAACCTGGCCAGACACCAGGATGCCTCTCCAGGACCCAGAGAAAGGAATGGATTGATTGCTTCTCTCTCTTGTTTCCAGACCCTCTCAAGAGCCCCACCTACCCATGCCATTGCCTACTACCTGCACCTCTTAGTTTTCGCTCTTTAAATATACACCTGCCTCAGGGGCTGGCCCCGTGGCGTAATGGTTAAGTTCGCATGCTCTGCTTTGGCAGCCAGGGGTTCACAGGTTCGGATCCCGGATGCGGACCAAAGCACCACTCATCAAGCCATGCTGTGACAGCATCCCATATACAAAATGGAGGAAGATGGGCACGGATGTTAGCTCAGGGCTACTCTTCCTCAGCAAAAAGAGGAGGATTGGCAACAGATGTTAGCTCAGAGCCAGTCTTCCTCATACACACAAAAAATACACCTGTCTCTCTAGTGAGGAGGCGGAAACCTGCCCCCGTACCCCGACTCCTGGTGTTTCAATAAGATTGAAACTTCAGCGTGCTGTGGGAGGAAAGTAGAGGTGTGTTCGACTGAGTTCTGGGTCCCAATTCTTCACCCCTCTATATAGCAGTATACATCCACACCCCAGCCATGGCCTCATGGTGAGCGGAGCATAATTCCGCCCTTGACCTTGAGCTAGGCCATGTGACTGGTTTTGGCCAATGAGCTATTAGCAGACATGAAACCCGAAAAGGCTAGGAATGTGCTTGGGCAGTAGGGCTTGCTTTCTTGCTTTTTCCATTTGCATAAGTGAAATATACCTCTGGTAGCCCGTTGTCCCAGAAGGATGAAAGACATGGGGAGCAGAGCTACCCTAGGTGGCCTGCAGAACTTCCCTCTGGGACACAGAGCTGCCCCAGCCAAGCTGCAGATGTGTGAATGAGCGACGCACGTGTATTGTGGCATGTCGCTGAGGCGTCATGGTTTGTTGCTTCACAGCAAAAGATGGTTGATAAAAGGCTCATCTTATGTGGGGAGAGAGAGAACTGTAAGAAGGAGTGGAAGGCCAGGGAGGAGGCTGATGGGTTGGTTCAGGGTTGGAGAGAGAAGGTAATTGAGAATTCAGTGATCTCTTGTGTGTCCTTTCTGGCTTGAATGTTTTAAGGTTCTGCCAGTTTCTTGTAATCTGCCCCTGTTGACTCTTTTTTGTTCTCAGAAGGAACAACTAGGGGTGTCCATGCCTGGAGGCAAATCTGATCCCCAACCTTAAGACAGCCTAACAGAACTTGGAGTGTAGCAGAATAGATAATGGAGGAGAATATGTGAGCTCTTGACAAGAAGGATGGAGAATCTAAAAGAAAATATGATCTAGATCCATAAAGGCACGATGGGAATGGATCAAATATGAATGTGACTCAACCATCGAAGCCTGCTTTTGTTGGGTGGGACAGTTTAATATTGACAGATGTGGGAGGTTTTACTGACTTCCATTCAATAACCATTTCCTTTGAAAACAAACTGGTAGATAGGCTGCTAAAATGGCCTCCATGTGATCCTGCCTCCTGGGTTCACACCCTGTGTGCTCCCCTCCCCTTGAGAGTGGGCTGGACATAATGATTTGCTTTTAATGAATAGGATCAGGCAAAAACGTGGGCTGTCACTGCCATGTATTAGGTTACAAAATTGACTTCTGTCTTGCTAGCAGACCCTGTCTATTGCCTTCTGGGTTTGCATGCTTTTGTGAAGTAAACTGCCATGTTAGAGAGGCCCTTGTGGCAAAGAACTGAGGGAAGCTCTGGCCAGCAACCAGCCAGGAACTGAGGCCTTCAGTTCAACAGCCACCGAGTCAATGACCGTGTTATCTTGGAAGCAGATCCTTCCCCAGTTGAGCCTTCAGATGAGACCTCAGCCCCAGCTGACACCTTGATGGAAGGCTTGTGAGAGGCTCTGAGGCGGAGGACACAGTTAAGCCACGCCCAGCTCCCTGGCCCGAAGAAACTGTGAGTTCAAAAGTGTGTGTTGCTTTAAGCTGCTACATTTGCAGGCAGTTTGTTACGCAGTGATAGATAACTAACACACAAACCAAGAATTAGTCTCTGCTGACTCAGAGCTGGGGGAGCTGGGTTCTAGTTGTAGCCTTTGTATCAGTCAGGGTAGGCTAGATTATGCCGTAATAACAAATGATCCCCAAATCTCTGTGGCTTACAACGCGAGTGTTGCTATATCTTGCTCATGTTATATGTTCATCGTGGATTGATTGTGACCATGTGTTCGTGTCATCGTCAGGATGCGGGCTGATGGAGCAGCCTGTCTATGGACCATTGCTGGTCTCAGGGAAGTGGGAAGATAAGATGATGAACCACACACTGGCTATTAAAAGCTTCTGCACTCTCACATTTCATTGGCAAAGCAAGTCATGAAGCCCAGCGGCAAAAAATCTCCCGCTAGCCATGTTATCTTGGCAAGTCACCTCATCTCTCAGGGTCCAACTCTATCTTTGAATTTGGCTTACAGCTCTAAGTGCTTCTGGATGTAGGAATATAGTAAACACGTTCAAAGGCCTCGCAAGCAACATTTTCTCCCGGCTGCTTTTCCAGATATGGAGCCGAATCCTCAGACGAGGGCTACCCAGGAAGATCCCCAGTGCGAAAGTTAGAGGAAACTGGTGTTGGGTCTAAATTCTCCCTCTGCCAACCAAAGGCCCTGCCGTTAGCACTTCTAGGCGTGGCTCGGCTGGCTGCCCATTTGCCGTACAGGAGACCTCTGGGAAAGCCCCTAGTGCCTACTGTATGAAGAATCAAGAAAGCTGAATTCCTAGAATG